GTGTGGCACCAGAAGTTTTATCTGTATCCCAGGTCAGCAAGAAACCAGAAGAATCATTTCCAGAGGTTTTTGAAGGACTTGGACTGATGGGCGAAGACTACCTAATCAGACTGGAAAAAGGAGCCATACCATATGCAGTCACTCAGAGCCGGAGAATTTCAGTTCCTCTATTTGAACCTACTAAGAAGGCCATCAAGGAACTGATACAACTGGGAGCCATCGAAGAGGTTAGTAAACCAACCCCTTGGTGTGCAGCTGCAGTCCCCGTTCTGAAACCAGACGGCAGTGTAAGAATTACCGTTGATTACACTCAATTGAACAAGTATGTTCTAAGGGAGTGCCATGAGATGCCCACTGTAGACGAATGCCTCGCAACCATTGGAAAGGAAGCAAAACTGTTTAGTAAGCTGGACGCAAAGTGGGGGTACTGGCAGGTCCAGTTGAGCCCTAAATGCAGACAGCTCACTACATTTATTACCCCTTTTGGTAGATTTCAATGGCGGAGAATGCCAATGGGATTGAAGTCATCTGGGGAAGTGTACAAAAGCCGTAAAGTAAAAGCACTGCAAGGCCTTGAAGGAGTCATCAACCATGTGGATGATGATCTGATTTGGGGAAGAGATATTGAAGAGCATGACAATCGCCTCCTCAAAGTCCTCCAAACTTATAAGTCAGCTGGTATAACACTAAACAAGTCCAAATGTCAGTTCCGTGTTCCAGAATGCAACTTCTTAGGTCAGCGTGTCTCGGCAGATGGTATCAAGCCCGGTGAAGAGAAAATCAAGGACATTCTCAACATGCCGGTCCCCAAGGATGAAACTGCAATCAGAAGTTTCCTCTCCAGTGCAAGATATCACCTAAAGTTTGTACCTAACCTGTCTCAAATGCTAAAACCAATCAATGATTTATTAGCAGGTGGGAAAGCAATGGAGTGGACGGACACCCAGCAGAAGAGTTTCGAAGAAACCAAGAAGGCACTTACATCAACTCAGGCGCTGGCGCTGTTCGACCCCAAGCTCCCCACTCGACTCTCAGCAGACTCCTCTGGGTACGGACTGGGCGCAGTTTTGGAACAACAGCAGAAATCGGGTGAGTGGAAACCAGTACATTTTGCGTCACGAGTTCTCTCTGATGTAGAGACCAGATATGCTCAAATAGAAAAGGAAGCACTTGCAGCCACATGGGCCTGTGAAAAATTAGGAGCATATCTTATTGGACTTCCTAAATTTGAATTATGTACTGACCACAAACCACTGGTGTCAATTCTTGGTGAAAAACCAATTAGTGAATTGTCCACCCGTCTGCAAAGGTTCCGAATGAGACTGACGCCTTTCCGTTATGTTATTAATCACATTCCTGGAAAATGTATGCATGCAGCAGACACTTTATCCAGAATGCCCTCAGGAAGCAATGCCGGAGCACCAGATGTCATCCAAGAAGTACGTCTGGAAGAAGCAGCTGTCGCAGAGATCCCCGCATCACCTGCCATGTGGACCTCAATCAGGGAAGCCCAGAAGAGAGACCCCACATGCAAGCTGCTGCGAGACACCATTTTAAATGGATGGCCAGAGGAACCTCACCAGCTACCCATAGAGCTGAAACCATTCCATCAAGACAGAGGTATACTGAATATACTGAAAGATGTCATAATGTGTGCCAAACGTTTCTACATTCCAGTTGAGCTGCAGAAGTCCATGCTGGAAAAGTTGCATCAAGGCCACCTCAACACCAACAAGTGTCGAGGCAGAGCACATGATACAGTCTGGTGGCCAAGTATCAGTAAGGAGCTCTCTGATTACATTTCTAATTGTATTACTTGCAAAGTGAACAGGAAGAATCCACCGGAGCCACTGATGACCTTGGAGACACCAGAGCGACCCTGGCACACTGTGGGGATGGATTTCGCAGAGAGAGGCAGCCGCAAGTTCATCATCGTTGTTGATTATTTTTCGACATACATCGAAGTGGCTGAAGTGCCATCCACATCAGCTTCAACAGTCATACCCAAGCTGTTTGAAATATTTGGGAGACACGGAATTCCGTGTATAGTCAGGTCAGATAATGGGCCGCCATTCAACTCTTATGCATTTTCTAATTTTGCCTCAATCTGTGGATTTCAGCATATCACCAGCAGCCCAAAGGCACCCTGGAGCAATGGCAAAGCTGAAGCCGCTGTCAAGGAGTTCAAGAAAATCCTGATTAAGGAGCCATTGCTACATCTTGGACTTTTGGCTTTGAGAAATGCACCAATGGAGGAAGGACTAAGCCCGAGCCAGCTGTTGATGGGACGCAGCCTACGCACTACACTCCCCCAGCTGGAAGAAAATTTGCTGCCTGACTGGCCATACCTGGACAAGTTCAAAACTCAAAGGAAGGAGAGACAGGCCAAGCAAGAACAGACGTTCAATGCACGGCACAGAGCTCGTCCGTTGTCAAAGTTATCAAAAGGTGAGCGAGTCTGGATAATTGACCACAAATCCTTTGCTACAGTTACAGGCATGGCGAACACTCCCAGGAGCTATTGGATCATGACAGATGATGGCTCCACTATGAGAAGGAATCGAAGGGACTTAATGGACGTTGGACCAGTAGAGTCAGAGCATCAACCAGGAATGTTCGAGTACTTGGCCTCACTCCAGGCCAGTCTGACACCTCCGACACCTGCAGAGCCAGAGCAGCAGGTGGTCGTACCTTCTCCTCCTCCTCAAAGGAAGCGCACCCCGCAAAGCTCCAAGAAGACACAACGTGTGAGCCAAGGTCCAGCCGACGGCAAGGGCCGCGGGAAGCGGCGTTCCTTATCGCCAAGTAAACCTGGCGGGAGCGTTGTCAGAACAGGACTAAAGACACGCACCCGCGACATCAAGCCACCCGAGCGCTACCAAGACGCTTCATGGGGCGGGACTGCCCAGTGGTGACTTTACTCCGTGTTTTACCTGTGTCAATAATTGTTTTCTCTCTACATTGTTATTAGAGCTGTATAAACTATTCTCATGACCTAACACGTTTGTCCTGTATTAAAGATCTTTTCCTGTAAATCACACCATCTCTCATCGTGATGTTTTCTTTCTTGGTTTTGTAACATTTACAATTTGCTGTGTTACATTATATAGTTGCCTTTGTTAACATTTCTATTTGCCTTTGTTAACATTATATTTTGCTGTGTTAACTTCCATAATTCTGCATTTTTGATTGCACTCTGCTTTTCGCTTTTTTGAGTGTTTTCTCTGTGATTGTATTTCACATTATTTATGCTTGTGATATATTATGCATATGCCGTGTGATATATTTATATATTGTTGCTATTTCCCTTTAGCTGACAGCCTTAGTTTTTGCTATATTGAATCTCGATGTCAGCTAACGTAAGAGAAGGGGGGATGTGCGGAGAACCAATAGTGATGGTCCCCGGGAGTAGGCTTTCCCCGGTCTGGTTCCCCACGTAGTTCCGTAACCCGCCACTAGGGCGCGGTAGTGATCAGGTAGGCGGTCAGCTGTTATTCTGTTACTTGTCTCTGAGCATCCGAGCAATAAACATCTACCTGCCAAACTCGTGTGTTACTCCGTACACCTCGCACAGGTTCGACTTTGTTTTGAGAACAATTTCTCACTGGGATGCCAGGATTAGAAAGCAAGACTGACCGTCCATTCCGTGAACTGCGACCAGCCCATTAGGCTTCGGTGCTCACGGGTCTGTGTGCCAAAGATCTGCCTGACCATGAACAATTACCAAGTTTTGTGTCGTGAGTTTACCGATTTTCAGCCAACTGAAAACCCGGTGCAGATAAAAAAGATAGCCTTTTGTTTTCTTCTAGCTCTTAATGAGGAGCAGGGCTTTTAAAATCGGGCCTCAAATATTATGAAATATACCTTGCTATTGAGTTGCAGGCTAGGAGATCTTGTAATAAATTATTTTATGAAA